GACAGGCAGGCGGAGAGAATCTAGATACATCCGTGTCCATGTTTTACTGAATCTGAGTTTAAACAAGTTTGATAAGTGGTTTGATAAGTATTCTATTTCATATTACTCTAGTCCTAAAAAAAAAAAAAAAATAAATATCATGAGACATGACCTTATCAGCAAGATTTAAACATCGAAATGGATGCATCATCTTGAGATGAAGTGAAACATTTACTTAGAGCAGGTTACAGGATGCGATCAACTTCTTACTTTAAAATATGGCAAGTTAACAGCTTTCATTGTGGCCATGTGTTCAGAACAGTACGATAGCATAAGACCACCTAAGGACTGCAAGATAAAACTCAAACGTGGAAAGGACTATCAAAAGTTATCTACATTTACAGTTCAATCACACATTTTTATTTAACATCAGTATACAGAGGACAACCCCAGCAAGTTATTTTGTAATGTCAAGTATTTAGTAAAGTTCTTCAGCTGTAACAGTGACAATAGAACAGCTAAAAATAAGCAGTATGAAACAAACATGATCTTAAAATTATAAATATACCAACAATACTTCTTAAAGCTTAATTATTGCAACAGTTAAATTAACAATAGTTCATGTTAGAAAGGCTCTATGAAATTTATTCAAGTTGTCAAGAAATTAGATGGAAGTGTAAAAAGGAAATACATATGAATTTTACTTTTGATTTTCACTAAAGGTAGTCAATACAATTTTGTACAGTATCACCTAACATGTCAATCTTTAACAAACTCCAGTATACAGAATTCATAAAATGCAGAAAAAATATTGTTTAATCTTTACATGTAAATCGACAGTAAATTAACTGACACAAATTTTATTATTGTAACATAAGCAGGCCAGCATTTTAAATATTAATTTAGTAGCTTTATGTTGTTAAAGGGGCGGACATATACAGTCATTCCAAGTACATAATCAAATTTTAAGAGGTGATAATTCAGAACATGGGTTTTCTAAAAAGTGTTTAGTAAAAGTCATGTTATTTCCTAATCCAAACATCCTCATCATAAAGCCTTTACAGGGTTATGATCTCTCCTGGCTTTACCGGAGCCACTAGTCACACCTCCTCACACACGCACGCGCGCAAACACACATACCTTGCTATAAATATCACACCAGTGTACTAGGTTTAAATTCACCCTGATAATGCGGGTATGCTATGTGCAACTTTGCTATTATGCACATTACAGAAAGCTTTAAATTTCAGCATGGTAACCTGAAGTCATATAGCTGTGTTTCAGTTTTACTATAATCATCCCTGAAGTTTATACAGATACCGTATCACGTTGAAAGAAATCTATTTGATAGTACTTAAATACCAGCAATTGAACTTCAATTGTAATGATGAAATGCTCCTTTCCATTGAGGAAGAATTAGTATGTATAGCTGCTCATCTCACTCAAATATAGTACATGAATGTTTAAGTACTTTCACTAAAACAGAAGTCATACTAAAACATGATACTGTACTACAATTGTAGTTAACTAGAAAATTCAAGGATGTTATAATTTAAGTCTAAGTTTTCCTGTACAATAAGTCAAATAAATAAAGTCCATGTGCATGTTTTACAAAATGGTAGCATGTTTATCTTGCTAGGTTATACACTGCCATTTCACCTGCTCCTACTTCTGGCCAATCTTACCTTGAGCTTTCTTACAGGGAAACAACTCATCAGCAACTTTTGCTTAGATAAAATGGAGTCACTGTACGAGACGGTGAATAGTTAATTCTAAAGTCAGACACAGAAATCATATAGTTTCTCTGACCACTAAGTTCTGAGAAAACTTGTTTTGCGCATCGAGGTACCACTTTGGTTTTTTGGGGAGTTTTGTTGGTTTTTTGGGTTTTGTCTTTTTTTTTTTTAATTGCTTCTGCAGGTCCTGTAATTCTTTTTGAAGTAGCTATAAAAATAACACGTGACGTTTACCTTGGTTCCTTTAAAACTCTTTTTCTGCATTTTCAGATCAATACAACCATTCTATAGTCCCATTTAGGCTTCCCATCAGGGGCTGGGAAAGACAGCGAGGGGAGAGGAGACAGCTATCTGTCACCATGTTGGGAAGAAAGTTCACACTCTTGTTAAGGCAACCTATTTTTCTCAACACCCTGAACCTTCTTCCTCAGGAGCAGGCTAACAAAAAGTGAGAGTAAAAAATTGAAACTAATGAATCCTGAGCGTCATTCAACTTCTTTCTTACTGCATTTTGCCATTCACTTGACCTCACTCTCATTAGGAGTTAGTACAACAGTTCTGGAAGTGCAATGCAAGAATGGTATATCCAGTGAGGAAGCTCAAGGTATGATTATGTATACACTGAAGTAGTAATTTTGAAGGTTTATAAACAGTCAGGACACTCTGTAAGCACTGTACAGCCTATCAGCTATCATAAGGATCACGGCTGAAGAGACCTTTCTGGATTTTTTTCCACTAAGGGCAGCCCCAGCCCAACCAGAAAAGTGAAGAGAATTTGTCATACACTGTCCAATTACCCAGCGCATCTTTTGACGGCTGTTGAAAATGAGGGAAAGGGTAGCACTGGCTCAATGGCAATTACGTTAGACACTGCAAGCCTGCTTCAGTTTTCCATCCAATTCTTTCTTTAGGCTGGCAGTGGCATGAATTTAATGAAGGCCTTTTGAGGCAATGATGGAAGAAGCAGCAAGATTCAGAGGCTTTCACTCTAGAGTTGGCAGACAAAAACGTGACTGAGTTTGAAGATCACTTGGGGACCCATATTTCAAAAGGAAGACTAGAAATAGCAGCTTTAAACCCCAGAGTAATGGGATAGCCTAGGATAAAACGGCTGGCGAAACAGAAATGAATGGTATATAACCCAGTAAGAAAGACATTACCATGAGTGTTTTATACTTTGACAATTTGCATTAAATAAAACTAAGTGCTTTCCTATAAACAAAAAGGATGCTTATAACGTCCTTCTGGCACAAATATTTTCCTATCAAAGCCCTGTAAACATGCCACCAGAATTTAGTTTTTACCAGCAGAGTGAGCTCACTAGAAATGCAAGTGAAATCAGAAAAACAAATTAATTTGAAAATTTCTAAGTAAATACTTCCTAAACAATATGGCATTTACATCAGTGTGCAATATATTAATTTTGAAAGTGATAACTTCAGCATGAGAATTACTTACCTGTAATTAAAGTTTTCCATATTGGCCAATACATAAATCCTGATTTTTTTGGTACTGCATACTTTATCTCTGAAATATTTGAAATGTCATATTCCAAATCAAAGTCAACACACAAAAATATTTAAGTTCTACCCAGTCTAACAAAACCCATCTCAGCCACTGAAAATAAATTTAACAGTGTAGTGTTTAGTAGTACGCAAAGGAGTTTTAGAACAAAAAGAAAATATAGGTCACAATAGAAATCTGAGGCACTGCTGTACGTGTATAAAGTTAATTCACAAGACGTGAATTGCACTGAGTCACAGAAGTGACAACTGCTTTAGTATTTTCATTTAGGACAAACATTTAAAATAGTTTAGTGTTTTGGGAAGGGTGCTCTTTTTTCTTTTTTAATTAATGCTGGATCTGTAGTTTTTAGGCAAAAAATACTTTTACATAACACCCTCCTCCATTCTCCCTAGAAAAGGGTTTACAATTTTTAGTTTTAGATTCAACCTTTAAATATGCATTCAGATGCAGAGCAGACATAGCTCTCTACACATACCTATGTTGTGACAAATTTGATAACATCTCAAAGAAACTTACATTATACAAACAGTTTTAAGAAAAAATATTGAGTTTTACTTAAAAGTTTATAGCAATGAAGATGTGGTATATAAATATATACAGTACCTCCACGTCAAAAGTCAGATTTATGAACCAAATGGTTAAAACCTAACGAACATCAGATTTTCATTTAGGATGCCCAACGTGGCAATATTCAGGTATTACCAGGTCGTTTCTTTTTCTTCAGGTGATAACCTACATCCCCTTTCAGAATTTTTCACAAAAACAATGGTTCTTTTTGCTAGATCAACTCTGGTAATGTTTTCATAGCTGTATTCCTTTAAAACGTTGCTGGCAAACAAAGCTATTGTAGCACAAAGTACTTTTTAATAAAATAATCACCACGTTTAGCTTCATTCAAAATTTAGCTTGCTATACACTGGACAGAAGAAAAATAAAGTTTTATCTGTGTTCAAGTGCATTAACAACAAGAGTTAAAACTAGTAATATATTTTAATGAAGGTTCAACTGATAGAACAGGTGCCATCAAAAAGCACGAGCTTGTTGATGATCAAATTGCCTAACAAAACTGACAGGAACATAACACTGAAACTGCTTAGAGAAAGCTTGCATCATTTTCTCTAATTTAACAAATACATAAATCAAAAATTAGAGTTCCTTGATAATACCGATTCACAATTTCAAGAGCATAAACTACAGTCAGTAAAGGGCTCACAAATCTGTGCATAAAATGGCTGACGTTTTAATAAGAAGTGGTTTTACATTAATGGCAGGCCACCACGGAAAAGTATGGAGGAACAAAACACTTTGGTCTTAATTTTTTCAGAGGCTCACATTTCTCATTAGACTTAAAAGCAGCAGCTTTTCATAAGCTGCTCTCATTGGGAGTGCGGTATTTTGTAGAAGACATCAGAAGGATTATAATTATTTTAGTGATTGACAGGTTTTACTTCAATTTTTACATAAATAGCTTTCACCATATTGTGGTTATGCTTAAGTATAAGAACACTGATCAATAGTTTAGATGCACAGTATTTATTTCTTCTGCTGGAAGGCAACTATACTTAATAATTGTATCCAAGACACTTCAAATCATTCAGAAATATGGCATGCAGTATCCAAAAGTATGGCTCTGAGGATTTTTTTTTCTTTTTACATTAAGCATAAAGAAATTTTATATTCAACATTCATTTATATTTCAAGAAAACTACCTATTCAGAGTTCTAGTTCTTTGATGCAGCATTAAGGATTAAAACTTACCACTTTACCAGGCCTTGCCCATGTGCAAATAAATCCCTCCTGACAAGCAGTGACTATACAGTCTTCAAGAAAAATTAACACAGTCAGTCTTTCATGTGCTATCTTTTTACAGATAAGAGGCTCTAACAAGGGAACATCTTCCATTCGGGGACAGAGAGGTGTTCCCAAAGTTTTAGCTGGGTCCGTTTTGGTTTTAGTAACTAGGTTCAGTTTGTCACTGCTCTTGCTAGATATATGTCCCATGCTATGATTTCTCTTGTGATCTTTTTCATGGTGTCTTTCCTTCCGATCGTGTAGCGATAAGGTTGCAAATTTACTAACGCCAGAAGCAATGGCACCATCCATGACACTGCTTTTACTGCCAGCATTTGAGACTGCCGAGTGTGGAAGGCTGTTTGACCGTGGAAGAGGAGGGGGTACAGAGTTTCCAGGTGTTGTGATACTGTTTCCGTTACTTCCCGGGTTAGTTCCACCACTTCCAGCAGGTGGACTTGTGGCATTCATGACATTTGTATGTGTCCTTGCTCTTGAGAGAGGTTGGTGGGGGAAGAGGATATCTTCTGTAAGATCCCACAAACAGAGCTGCGTGTCCTGGCCTACTGAACCAAATCTATACGTAACACTTACTGGACGACTGTCTGTAGAGTTCCTTTTGGATAGCCTAGATTGCGTACTATTTGCTCGATCTCTGCCAAAATGAAGGTCTTGGAAATCCTCATCACTTCCGCTAAATTCCATCGGGTCACTCTCTTCTACACTAGTGGTATACGGATCAAACGCAACAACACTGACCCACGATTTATGTCCGTGGCCTCTCGCTATTACTCGACAGTCCACGAAAGACCAAACTGTTACCAAGTCATCCTCTCCACCTGTCACTATGTATTTCCCATCAGGACTCCAACACACACACAGCAGTCCTCCAAAGTAGCTTTTCATTGTACCATGCAATTCCACTGAATCAAAGTTAAATACGCGAAGAAAACCATCCTGGCTCACACATGCCAAGAACTTCCCATCTGGGGAAAAGGCAAATTCATTCAGGGCACCCTCACCTACTGTCCATTTAAGCAGAGGGTTTCTCGTGGATTTACTCTTGCAAGTGTGAACTGCAAAACTTTCTCCTTGTTTAAGTAGCTGGTAGTGCGGGGCTGTGGTACCACAAGTGTGCTCCACGTTATACAAGTACATATTGCCACTGGAATGAGCTACTAGGAAAAGGCTTTCCGAGCCTGGCACCCATTTTACACAGGTTACTCTGGACTTGTCTATTAGTCTCTGTGAAAAACAAAGAAGATACACATCAGAAAGTCTGGAAATTAAAGTTTTAATGATTAACTGTAAATCTGAGCTTTCTGGGGGGATGGGGAACAGTAGTTAAGCAAAGTGAACTCAGCTTTCTAGAAAGGAGCTATGTTACTGTTTTTGCAAAAAACTTATCACCTTATCAGGCAGTAAAGAGGAAATTATTTTTAGACAAAGTGCTACCAAAGGTTATTACGGTCCAGTCACATTCCACAAAGAACATACTTCAATCAAGCCAGTCCGTTGTTACGAATCTAAAGGTAGCGTTCTTAGGTTTATTTTTCGCTGTGTAGGTTGAAGAGCATGTAAAGGAAACAATGAAGAAAACACAGAAAGAGCTAAAGGTAAAAAAGGCAGTTACTCATCTGTACTACACAGCAAACAGGTTACAAATCAACAACAGTAAAATTACATTCTGGTTTTATCTGAAATGACAAATAAAATCCATCCTCTGAAAGAAGAAAAAAAGAGGCTTTAAGAGCCTTTACCAGCTTTTACTGATTCAGGAAGCAAAAGCTACATAGGCAGTGACCCTGTTGTCACGTAGCTGGAAAGTTAGTAGTTAAATGCACAGGGTTCAGTGAATTCAAAAGGCACCACATACTCTTCACCTTGGAATCCCCACCCTCCAATTACTTTCCATTCACTAGCCCAGGATGTGTCCATACTCTCAGTTACCACCTGATTAAGAAGTTTCCTTTAGAAAACAAAATTAAGAGCCTATCATCACAAAAGAATGAACACAGACATTAAATAAACATTCCTGATCATAAAGTCTTCAATGCTCTAAGAACTGAGAGATAAAGTTTGACTCCTTGAGTTTGCTAGTGTAGTTCTGGTGGACCTCTAAAACTTACCAAGTCGCCCATAGCATCCCTCAATTGCAACTTGGAGACAAGTAATTCTTTACATGCACATTTAAGATTTGTATTTGGCATAGATTGATTATAGGCTGAAAGAAGAGCTGAGCTACACAAAAGGCAAGAATGCAAATACAAAGAGCCTAAGGAAATACCAGAACAAGTTACAAAAGCATTAAAAAACAGAGGCAAAAAAAAAAATCCCCAGAACACCTTGCTATGCTGTTTATCACCAAAAAACCAAACTAATGGATAATAGAGCAACTGTTACCCATTCTGGGACTGTAACTATCACTGGAAAGCAGCACCTGGTCATTTTAGATTATACTTTTGTGTATACTTTTGCTGCTGCCAACCTCAGTGTAAGACCAGGAAGCCTCTCTTCTGTAATTTCTCATTGGTTAAATTAGCCATTTTGTGCTTAAGAGCCAAGAGATGTGACTTAATCTGGGAACTTTTCCTCAAATGCAGTAGCTTTAAAATAACATACTCTTAGCTTCTGTTGCAATATTTTAAATAGTTTGTCATGTGTTCATTGATAAATATCATTCATGTCTCAGTAATGATGATATCAGAAATATTAGACAGAAAGTTACCTGGTACACACCAAGAGAATATGGACGGGGAACATCAGCCCAGCTGGCTTGCTATAGGCAATAGTCTTCTCATTATGAAACCACTGCTAGCATGGCAACAAAGAGAAATTTCTTGCTCTCCTCTACTAGAGCAGCTCAACCTGACATACAACCTCTACTCATAAAAGCAGTTGCTCAACTTTTATACTAGAAATGGCATTTTAAGTCCATGATCATGTTGGGCTACACGATCTTAAATATTGTACAGAAATCCTGCAAACCTGATCTTTACCTCAAGGAGGCTCCAAACAGAAGACTGCAATCTGCAATGAGAACAGATTAGCTCAGAGACAAGATGCAGAGAGACTTTAAGCTGATATGTAGCAAGTGACTACAACTCATCCCCTTCTCAACGAGCAGAGCTTTAAATTCAGTTAGATAAAAACTCTGAAGTTATGACTTTGAGGCTTTAAAAGATTTCAACTGGCCTCACACACTTCTGCAGCACAACAAAACAAGACCTGAAGTCAATATGACTGGCAGATGCATTACAAGATTGGACCGAATGCAGTATCATGCAAATCAGTGGAGTAGCTGGGATAAAGAGCTTATGTTCAGTTTGATTACAGAATAGTAAGTGAAGGAACTTCAGTCACCAGTCAGGAAGACAAGCCAAGCGAGATTACCTTGGTGGCCATGTTTTGAACAAACTTGAAGGGACAAAATTATAGGCATAGGCCACAAAGGAGTGAAAGAACCGAGGCAATCAAGGAATATGCATTAAGGTCTGACAAAGAGCTTTGGCAACACAGGTATAGGAAAAGTTTATTAGGAAAAAAAAAAAATCTAGCTTAAGGCTTTAGTTTAAAAGGAATAAAAAAATAAGATGAAAGAAACAGAATTCAATTGGCTAGCTTGAGAATAACCAACTACCACCTGGAAACAACTGAATCTGTGAGGTACACTTGGTTGGTTTTGGGAATAAGAAAATATCACTAATTCAATTCTGACACAGCTAGAAGGAATACCACTGCTGATACAGATTGATTTAGGTAGGCAGCCACAAGCTGCATAGTATCACTCATCTCAGCCTTTCAAGTGCCTATTGTCTTCTACATCAATACAATTTAAAAAAAAAAAGAAGAGTAACAAGTTAGATTGCATTAAGGCTATTTCATTTTAAGTTCAACATAACCTTTGGTGTCACAACAGGGTAAGTTATTTCATATATCACATACGATTAAGTGCTGATTGCTTTATCACAGGTGATGGTCAAAACAGACCTTTGGGCTACCTGAATCACCAAATTACTAACAGGACAGGCAGTGAATTCTATTACCTCTAGCACTAGTGCTAAATCTGTCGGAAGATGTAAACACTCATTTAGACCACCTTCTGCCTATGAAGACATGTTTATTCTCAAACATTATCTAAACTTGAAATATAGTCAAAACCCAAGAAGCACCTTCACCTTGAAGCAAACAAACTGGCTCAAACACCAATGCTCACTGATGTTTCTCTGAAATGGCTTTTAGATACAAGCTAGAACTTCCAAACACGTCCAGGGCAAACTTAAATACTGTAATTGACAGATTAAAAATACATAAAAGTTTTAGAATTGGTTGTAACTGCAGATTAGATCAGTGTAGGAAACAATCTGTCATGTAACTCTACCCTACCATGTGCGTAGTTTTGGTAGCACTGAGCAAATCCTTATGTTAGCTTTGTAGAAAACAGATCATCTCATTTAATTTCCACCAAACTGTCAAAGGATGTATTCCCACCACAGTGAAGTAATGATGGTCTAATCAATACTGTCTAATTGAAAGCGGCTTCAGTGCTTCCATCATTTGTGGACTACCACAAGAACTACTCAGCCTGCAACGCAGCTTTACACTGTAAAGACAGTAAACAACATCAAGGCATGTAAACATGCATTGGACCTTTATGTTCAGTATTTCAGCAGAAGTTTTTCTCAAAGCAACTATAGTTCAGCTACAAGAGTGAGAACTGCCCTGCGATACGAAACTCTAGCTCTTTATAGCATTTCTACTGCCATTTGTAATATTTACACTATTATCATACAAGATTAAATCAGAGCTGTACTTAACACAAGTAACTTGTTCACATCCAGACTACCACTTGCAGTGGTGAAGTTGCACAAATGACAAAGTTTTGGGTTTTTTGGTTTGGGATGGGTTGTGGTTGGGGGCGGGGGGGGTAGTGCAGGGGGAGGGGTGTTAGGAAAATACTAAAATGAACATTTCAACTACTTATACAGAGGTTTCTACCAGAGTACTCCGTGAGACATTAAGAGATTCTCCAGCAGTGTTTCCCACTCAACATAAGCAGAGAGACAGAGCAGGTGGGAAAAGGCCAGGAAAGAAGAACGCCCCTCTTCTGATCTAGATGTAGCTACTTTTAAAAAGCTGAGGAGGAATTAGACAGTTCTAATTATAAGACATCCCCATTGAGAACAATACTTCAATCTTCTTTGCACAAAGACAGCAAGGCAACACATCCCTCTGAGGTGGGAAAGACATGCTTGCTCAGTTTGAAAGCTGAGCAAGGCTTAACTTCATCTGCAAAGCTCTTATCCAGATTTGAAATTTAAAAAAAAAAAAAAACCAAAACAAAACACCAAAACAAGAAAACCACCAACCTGCAAAGCTCTTTGCTATTACCCCCCTGACAATTCACCTGCAGCTGGATTAAAACACAAAAAGGAGAAAAAAAACATGCCCCAAAACCAATCACCCTCTCCAAACCACCCAAATTCCCATAGCTTATCCTCTGCAGAAAATGCTGTCAAAAGTTGTACCAGTTACCAGATTTCTTTCCTTGTTAGCATCCAGACACTTAGTCTTCTAAGAATGTCAATACTACCAGATAATCAGAGCCAGTGGTCTTGTAACTTGGCATTAGTCCCCCCCATAGTACTCCCTTCTATCTGTCCTTATTGCACAGCAGCAGAAAAAGCAGATGGAGAGTTCTTTCAGGAACATCACATGCCCTCATAAGCCTTCTTCTGTACAGCATTCAGCTTGATATCCTAAGTCTTCCCCAGGCAAGCCTTTAGGAATCCTTGATACAATCAGTTTCTGCTGCTAACATCCTGACCATAAAAACTGGTATTTTTACCTTATTTAATATTTGCACCATAATATATTATTTAAACAGGGGCCTAAATGTTTTCTTCTTCATTCGAACCAGAAGCCACAGAAACAACAGACTGCAGAGCACATGCAGCAACATTTAGATTTTAGATGTAGTCTACATTTAGATGTAGACCTTTTTTCCAATCAGTTAACTGTCATTAACTCTAGTTACAGTATCACCCAAACTAGAAAGTCCTAATTTTAAATCTTAAACCTCAAAAGATTCCTTCATGAATTTTTGTGTAGGTATTCCAAGCCGATGAAACAGCTGAAAAACAAAGGTAGTGACTGAACGATAAGCTATATAGGCAAACGGAACCATCTATAGAACTTTGAGAATCTAGGATCTTTACTGTCACAGATACATTGCATGCAACAATGTTAAGATTTCTACTTACTTCCTCATTAAATAATTTGCTAGTTTCTTTTTTAATGGGGTCTATAAGTTGGACCTGGCCTGCAGAGAAGCCCACTAGAAGAGACACACTTTCTGCTGTGGCTGTTAAGTGATTGAAGTCATGGCATGTAGGTTGTGTTCCTTTGTATATCCTTTTGTCTATTGGTTTACTCAAGTCCGCAGCCTGCAAAGAGAGCAAACAGAATTAAGACAGTTTATCACAATGTGTGCATATAACCAGTTCTATTTGCAAGTAATGCGTATGCTAAGCAACAATTTATGCACTCACAAAACTCTACTTTAAAAATCAGCTTTGTATTTATCAAATACATCGAAGATATTGTCAAAAGGTTTATTTTTTTCATATAATGCAATACTTGTGTTTTTCACTTTTGCTAACACTATACCTACCCTAGCCTTTGCAACTACATCACATGACAAAACAATGACAACCGTTCAGCAACACACAGGCTCCAGTGAGTCCTCAAGATCAACCTGTTCCCAGAAGCCTTCGCCTGCCAGAAGAGGCATTCCATCACACAGAGACAAGATATCTTCGACTTTCCTAGTAGCAGCTTTCTCAATATTGAGTACAACCAACTTTGGATTAAAAATAGCATATTCTCAATCACCTGATTCTTGTACTATCCTTTTATAACACACAAACATATGATATTGGTCTCAATAATGAAAAAAATTATCAACTAGATCCTAGGAGAGTATTTTCTAGGAACACCGACTCAAGATGCTGATACTGTGATTATAAAATACATTTTAAGCCATTAAGCTACAAAGTAATTGTGCTTCTGACACTGAACATAGTATTCAAATATAGCTCAGGCAAAATAAGTGCTAACAAAACTGAGGAACTTCAGTAGAAACAACTGAAGATCTGGCACCAGTGTCAGAAGAATCAAAAGGAACAGAAAAGCAATTCAAAATGCTCTCTCAGTTGTGTAACCCATGTTTATCCCCATACCACTTCTGAACAGACAACCTAATCTTTCATCATTCAGAGATTAAAACGCACACATTTAATATGCAAGATCATACCTCAAGTTCAACTTTTTTTTTTTTTTAAACTCCCTGTTTACTAGGTTAGGAGTCTGTAATTACAAAGCTGCAGATACTCAACAATATTACAGACCTGAGATGTAGCTGTGATTTGGATTCTAATTTTGATATATACTTTTTCAGTATTTTTAGTCAGAGGACATCGGGCCAGCAATGTAAGAAACAAAACTTCTTTGAGGAAGAGGACAAGTTTCACATAAAAGAAAATTGCTCCAGTATGTTAAACCTTCGAGGATGAGGTCTAAAGAGTGGCAAATCCTTGGTGTGCACTGAGCTACATAGACAGAAACTAGACCTGTCAGTAGGGAAAAAAATCTGAACTAGCTACACAGTGAATCATGTCAGGTGAGCCATTTCCAAGGCAAATTTAACTATGGGATACACATGATAAGCATATATATACAACAGTATTAAAGTTGCACTTATGTTTTGCAGCATATATTATAAACTAGTTTAATCAGGTGTATGGCCTCCTGGTTTAAAATTCAAAAATGAGATGATGTATTCCAACTTCTAAAGTCAGCAGATTAAAAAGTTATTCTCCAGAGCCCAGAGATCCATTATAAGCTAAGAAAGAATATTAACAATACCTCTTCAAGGAGAACTTAAATAGAATACTAGCTCTACTGGGAGATCATAGGATAAGGCGCATGCCTAGCAAGAAGCATTCACAGATATACGTAAATCTGTAATTTGAAGCTGAAAGATCAAATCCTAGAGGCCATGAAGTTATCTCTTATATTGTGCAAGACTCCCTTGTCCTGTATCACTACTAAATAAGTGATATCAAGGGATGACTCTCAAAATTGAGGTAGTGTTTCTATCTGGAAGACCATTATACAGAACAATATAGATGCATCCCTCCATACCTCAAAGAAGTGCAGGGTTAACAAGGTACCGCATCTCTCTCCTCTCACCTGCGAGACTTGAGGTTGTGCCCTCTGGACAGAAATTCCAGCAGGACCCAATGCCTCAGAAGGAAGATCCCTTTAAAGTAAATGGAAATCAGCCTGCATCATGCTGAATGACCAGAGAACCACAGGCTCTCCCAGCCAGCAGAAAACACAGATATTCCCAGGTTCTTCTCATTCTGTATCCTCACTATCATTTTAAGCAGCAAAGAATCAAGAGGTGGCTATTTTCAGACTGGAACTATACCTTGCTCTTTTGTCTGGTTGAGGTTTTATATCACTAGCCTTTGTTTTTGTTGTCCAACAAATTTGGTGTGACTGAAGTTCCCCGTCTTCTGAAATTATGCGATAACAGATCTAGCAAGACATGAAATTCTGATAAATTAAATCTAAGCACAGACTTCACTGTGCTTGTTCTAGCTGTTCTCTGGGAACCAGATGGCAGTGACAATCTGTCTGAACCTAAATGGAGTATAAATAAACTAATTCAACCCAGAATTACCAGGCTTCTACTGACAGGGACGCCCCGCCTTTTATTTACATGCAGCTAGTGTTTTCAGCTATAATATAGTTGCTTCATGGAGATAAGTCAAATCTACAAGCACAAAAGTACTATTTTGGTCTTGATCTCTCTTAATTGAAAGACAGGGTAGAATCAATGAGCATAAGAACTAGGATACATTTTCTTTATTTCTGCAGAGCTGAAGGTTGCTATTGGATTTTGGTAAGAACAAGAAAAGAGCTTACTCATAACATTCAATTGCGCCTGGGACTCAGCATTTCATTAGCTCACCACTAAGTCCATTTGCTATATTTTTTTTGTGGAAGATTTGATTCTCAGAAAAGAGCTTTTACATGAGATCTGAGTTTACAACTGGCAAATCCTAGGATATGACACTATTTACTGAACGAGGCGACGTGAACTGCCCCCCTCTCAGAAGAACGGTGATGTACTTCGAATGAGAACAAAGATCTTGGGATTAAGCGTTACCAAACATGGATACTAAAAGCACAGGATCAGGCACCCTCACCTCTGCTTGAGCTGGCAGCCAGCTATTTGCATGCTTCCTGTCCCAGTTCCTTTAACGTTTTCTTCTGAAAAAACACTCAGCACTATTCCAGCCTGTCCACTTTGAGAAACTTAATCCATTGTGGATGATTCATGATGAGAGCAACACTTCGTAATTAGAACTTAAGAACTTAATCATGACTGAAAGAAGGTTGGGGCATCTAATGCAAGGTTAAGAATCAATGCCATCCTCTCTTCGAATAAAAATCTGTGCAAGCCATTGAAGTACATCTTCACTTATCAAGACTCTGGTATTACCACCTGGGCCAACTGATTCCTGCATTAGAAGTCTGCTCCTTCCAACGTACAGTGGTATTTCAAGTACCCCTTGGGCAAAGGAACAAGGAATAATGGTTATCAGGCAACAAGAACAAGAGGAATCTCACACAACACCTGTCTAAAGTCAGTGATGCAGCTGAATAAAATAGGTGTACCTTGGGCATCAACAGCTTCTGAGTCCTCTCTTTGAACAGATTCAAACTCTGTGGAGAACCTTACAGAAGAAAAAATTGACCAACTTTGCTGTTTAGTTCTTTGTGATGAATTCGCGCTCTAGAAATAAAATGTGAACCGTGTAACTGTTTGGGGGAATTCGTAGTCCCATTTAGTTAACTCTTTCAGCATGCTATCTTAGCAAAATTACCCCCACTCTGCTGGGGTGTGGGGGGGGAAGTAACAGTCTAGCAGTTGCCCATTCACCCTGAATCATGACTTCCAGCAGAACGGCAGTCAAGTGGAATGTCTTAACCACAGCTTTAAGTACCTAAACACTAGGGAGAAAATGGGAAAAAAAAAAAAATCCGTTATCTCAGTCTGAAGCAAATATTTAAGTTTTCAGATTCAGATGTTTGAAATGTCTGATTAGGATGGGCATCAATAACCTTGGTTCTGTAGCTGTATGTAATTCTAAGGTCAAACCAGATTAATATCTGTCCAAGATTCATTCTTTTTATGTACCATTGATACGAGACTTAGAGCTTTCATACTAAGATTTCCCAAACAGTGAATCACATTATTTCAAGTCAGCATTTAATCATGCTCCTTGACAGATGTGATTTCTTCCTGTATCTTTTCTTTTCCTAACTTACATCTGCAGCTTTCTGCAAATTTTAGTCAAATGAAATGTATCATAGATGCTACATTTCCTTCCAAGCTAAAAAACATCTCTGAGATCAGAAAGGAAAAGAGTTACTTATTAATTTATCTCAGATAATTTCAACTGTACTCATCAAAATGCTTCCTTTACATACTTAGTAGTATTTAATATCACATTTGCCAGGAGACTGGCTTGCAACGGGTCACAGCTTTAAGTGAGATCAAGACAGAATATCAGGTCTTTAAGCCTGAAAGTGAAGGCAAACATTTAATAAAAATTTTACTTCCAAAAATCCTCTTAAGAAAATTTCTCTTGTCCAGAGAATTAATTGATTTTGAACGGCAGATTACAGATTGGCTACGTATGTAGAGCTCCAGCGCAAACTAAAAGAGAAGACACAAAGAACCAAGATATTATACTTTCAAAAACAATTTCCTCAGCATTTCTGGAGCTTGGAATTCACAACTTATTACCTGTAGCTTGGTATCTCTTTCAGTACCTTGCTGTCCAGGGATTTAATGGTCCCTGGTCTATAAACAGAACAATTTGAGAAAGCCATGCTTGTTATAATGCTATACAAGTAACATAAGAAATCAACTCTTAGAACTATTACTAAGTGAACTTCACTGAACTTCACAGAAGCTCTTTAAACCCTAGCTGAAAAAAAGAGGCAAGGTCACCCTTGCTGCAGCACTTTGCCTTACAGTATCCCCTAGTGAATAGGGCAGGGTCTTCCAGGACAGACTTGCTAACTGTATTAGCAAGTACAGGGAAAACTAAACCAGGAGGCCCCTTACAGCTTGTTTATTCGTCCTCCATGTCTGTGCTGGTCTCCCTCTCCTTCCTGCAGAGCTAGCTGAAGGACAGAGAAAGTTGAGGAACACAGCAAGAAAGCCGTTATCCTAGGCAATTTGTAGAATTTTCTGGCAAACACTGTTCATTGTTTCTGTACACAAGTGTTTCTGGCAGAAATACTAGCCTCAATACTTCCCAGTGGAAATCCCTCTAATTACTTTATTATCAAAGGAGTAGATTTCCAGCTTTTTTTTTTTTGAGCTCAAATACAGCTCACTTAATATTAGCAATAGAATAATTTGCAGTTACATCACTGTTGC